AGCGGTGGACAGCAGTTTTCTAGAACCTCAAAATAGGAGCAGGACCAGTGGACCAGAGTGGTTGGAAGCCAACTTGGATTTTTTACCAGCCCTTCACCACTCTAAGCCATAATTTCTTTTTAATGTTTTTCTTAAATTAAAAAAATTATAGAACTTCCAGTTTGTTGCTTGGAAGGAGGATGCTCTGTGATGCTTCCATATCTCACCCTACACAGCTGTCTGTTCCTGAGTTGTACCCTTTATGATAAACTAGTTAATGTAAAAATGTATTTATAACTAGGCGCCCATGGCTCATGCCTGTAATCCTAGCCACTCAGGAGTCTGAGATCTGAGGATCACTGTTCAAAGCCAGCCCAAGCAGGAACAGATTATGAGACTCTTACCTCTAATAACTAAAGAAAAAAAACTGGAAGTAGAGCTGTGGCTCAAGTGGTAGGGTTCTAGCTTTGAATGCTCAGCCCCTAAGTTCAAGCCCCAGTAGCAGCATGTACACACACACACACACACACACACACACACACACACACACACACAATTTATTTAGAGGCATTCACAATGTCAACAAATATAGCTGCCACTCCCTTTGTTGCAATTACAGAGTGGTGGTCAGTTAACAGCAAAAGTATTTCTTATATACTGCTGCAGGCACAACTAAAGAAGAAAAAATTACTGACCCTACATGTAACAACTTTGTGCTTGTACCAGCAGGAACCTGCTTTGAATTTTCACGTAAATTTACAGGTCCTATCTGGTCCAGAGAAGGTTAGTTTTGACTGAGAATATCACCAGGACAGGACTGACTAAGGATACGTTTGGTAGTATGTCAATTATATTTTTTAAGAAAAAGAAAAAGGCATTGTAGAAATGCAAAGCGAATTTTAGCCTCACCGTGCAATATTTTCCTTAAAAGGAGTGAGTTCTGTTCAGAGGATGTTAAATCCTCTATAGACAAGAATAAAAAAACAAACATGCTATAAACCAACTTATTCATCACCATCATCATCATCTTCATCTTCCCCCTCTTCTTTTTCTTGCTACTTTTAGCTTCCAGGATTTCCTTTTCTGCTGTTTGATGCTTCATTAGCTTAGTAGGCCATATCATCATTTCTATGGTTTTTGTTCAACTCAGCATCTATCTGTTCATGAGACTGCTTGTCATGAAAGCAGGGTTCTTCCACATCTTTTCTGATCCCATATCAGGGACCCATTTCTTTGCATCATCACCAATGAATAGGCCAGGATGTTCTGCTTTGATTTGAGAGAGACTCAGAACAGAACAAGAAAGCTAAAGGAAGCTTCTTGGATATATTAAGGCTTTTGAGCTGCTTTTTTGTCTCCCCCCCCATAGAAATAATATAGGTCTTATTTTTCCTTTCTGGATTATTTGTTTGTGTGTTTAGGCAAGTTCTCACTTCCATCACTTGCTCAGCGCTGGGATTACAGGTGTGTGCCATCCTGGATCTTTCCCCACAGGCCTTATGGGCCTTATATCTTTATGGGCCTTTCTCTTTAGTGAATGTGGTCCTCTACCTCTCTGAGAACTTCTTAAAAAACTCTTGAGAATGTTGATGGAAATCTCTGGCACTGCTTCTGGTACTCCTCTGAGCAAGTCTGCAAGGAGAATGCATGTGATGCCATTTTGCTTCTTCTACTCTCCTTTGCCCATGTGTTTTTCTTTTATCCTCAGTGAGGAGGTGTAGAGTTCTCCCTCCCCCACCCAGTCAGGCTGTCACTTGCCCTGTTTGTATGGAGCTCTATGTACTGCCCTAGCTGTCGTCTATAACTCTTCTGACTAGCAGCCACCTGGTCATGGAACTGAGACAGTGTGGGCTCTACATCAGACCACAGGGTCAGACTGTGGGCTTTCCTGTGAGCTCAAACCAGTGACCAGTCTCCAGCAGTCATGTTCTCCACAGCAGGAAAGCATAGGCCTCTCCATGTCAACCACTTTGCCATGGGGCTTTCCACCCTGTTCCCTCAGCAGATCTAACATCCAGACAGCAGCAGAGCCCGGACACTCCTCCCCCGCCCACCCCCCTGCTCTGAGAAACTGAAGAGGAAAACCAAAGACAAAAATGCTGCTCTGGCAGAGGGGCCCTGGCTAGGGGAGGGGAGGGGACCTGGCTGGGAACTGTGGCCTCTTTTCCCCAGGGCTACCAGTTCCTGCCTACTCCAATGACTTTAGGGCCTGTTCAACGGGGTCGTGGGATGCCCAGCGAGCCTCAGCAACCTTTCCCATTCCTGGCTTGCCGCGACCCACAGTCTGTGGAAGGTTAACCTCAGGCTTCTTCCTGGTTGCTTCTGATTCACTTTCCTGCCTCTGGCCGGATGGAGGTTTAGAGGTTTGGCTGGGCCATTCTGCTTATATACTCGAAGCCCAAGTTCCTGACCCTGCCTGTTCACCAGCCCAGCCAAAGCCCAAAGCCTCTCACCCTCCAGACAGATACTCTTAGCTCGTCCCTAGAGGCAGCACTCAGCATGCCATCTTATTCCCCCACTCTGCCCCAGTGCTGGGGTTTGAATTCAGGCATGAGTACTTGTCCCTTAGATTCTTTGCTTAAGGCTGGTGCTCTAGGCACAGCTCCACTTCTGGTTCTTTGATGACTAATGGGGGATAAGAGTCTAATGAGCTTTCCTGCTTGGGTTGGCTTGGAATCACAATCCTCACATCTTAGCCTCCCAGGTTACTAGGATAGCAGGTGTGAGTCACAGGCACCCAGCTAGCACCACCATCTTTAACCAGGCTTTGACAGCATTCTACTTTCCCAGTGAGAGTCCTGAGGGGACCTATTTTCCCTGGCACTCTAGGACACACTGTCAGGGGCAGATCAGAGCACATTTTATTTAGGCACAGGTGCTTTGGGATTTGTCCGTTCATTTGATCCTCAGTACAGGTATACTTGGTTCATACTCTCACAGTAGTTCTACAGCTGAGGCTCAGAGAGGTTAAAGGCTTACCACAACTTAAACAATGAGGCAATATATTTTCTCATGTGGAATCCCAAGTGGACAGTGCTGCTTAAGCTCTTACAGCAGGAAAATCCAAGGAAAAGACCTGCTGAGAGTCCCTGGCCTTGCTAGGGCTTCTGGAATGATACATAAGGGTTGAGATTTTGTTGCTGTTGTTGTTATTTGTATGTTTTCCCCATCATCCTTGCTTAAAACCTTCAAAATATACATTCCATTCGCCACCACCTTGGAATCAAACAGGATGCTAGATTAGCCCCAACTCCATTAGAGGCCAGATGTCTTTGCTGTAAATATCCCCTCAGCCTGGGCACTGATTCTGTTGGCAAATACCAATGGGGCCCCTAGAAAAAGCCAGTGGTTAAGTCTGGTATGAATTTGCATTACCAGGGCTGGGAAGGTGGCTTAGTGGTACAGTGCTTGCCTTGCATGCATGAGGCCCTGGGTTCGATTCCTCAGCCCCACATAAGCAGAAACAGCCGGAAAGTGGCACTGTGGCTCAAGTGGTAGAGCACTAGCCCTGAGCTGAAGAGCTGAGGGACATCGCCCAGGCTCAGAGATTAGGCCCCAGGACTGACAAAAAAATAATAATTTGCATTACATACCTTTATTCGTATATCTAATATTAACCTTCTGACCCAAATTATTGGGTTAAGCCCCTACTCTGTGTCAAATAATCTCTTGTACCCCCTGGGGTACAAGGAAGGACACAGCATAGGCTCTCCCACAGTCCCTAGCCTAGTGGGACAGATAGGCAAACAGGTAGATACTAAGACTGGCAGATCTTAGAGAAGGAAGGAAATAAGGCTGGTTGGACCTCAAGGGTCTGAGTCTTCTCAGGAAAGCATCTCAGTAAAGCAAACTTTATGAGCTGGGCCTTGAAGGACAGAATGTGAGAGAGTTTCTTTTAAATTCTTTCTGAGGATTTTTGGCTAGTGGCAAGAACTGGCTTTAGAGAACTAAATGGTGAAAGATGGATGGGCAGGGGGTGCACACAGAAAGGGTGAGTGACTCCTTAGATCCTGGAGATTTTGATTGTTCCTGTAACTTTGGTCACTTCAGGCCTGAGCCTTTGGAGCAGCATTGTCTAGTAGAATTCTGTGATAATGAAAATGCCATCTTACCCAGTGGTCAACATGGAAGCCCATGGGGCTACTAAGTCCTTAAGGTGTGGCTAGTGCTGCTGAGGAGCTGAATTGTTTGCTTTGCTTTCAAGCCCTGTGTTCAAGCCCCAGGACTGGCACCTCCCCCCAAAAAGAAAAATCAAGTGTCTGAGCCTCAACCTTGAAATCCTGATTTTGTTGATCTAGTACTTGGGTATCAGCATTTCGGAAAGAACTCAAATGACTCACTGGGAAGTTGAGGCTGAGATCTAGAATTGTCCACCACACTTTCAGGGATAGGAGGCTCTTCTTGCCCTGGCTTTGCCTGAAGTGTGTGTGTTTGGGACATATTGGGCCTTGAGTTTCTCTGACCTCTCCTAACACTTCTTTCTCCATGGAAGACCAAATCTGTGGTTTCCCGGTTTACTTGGGGAGGAAGATCAGGCCTTAGGCCTCTCATAGTCTAGAGGCTCCTTTTCCTCCTAGCCCCACCCATTTCCCAGGCTAGAGACAGCACTGGTTCACCTCAGTGCCCTACTGGCCCAGGCCAGCTTCCCCTGGACAGCAGGGTTGAGTGGTCAAAGAGCCTCCTTGTCAGAGGCCTCTGGGGCCCTTGGATGGAGCCCAACCAGTCATTTTATTAGGCTGGGCTGGGCCTGAGCGGCGCAAGTGGCCAGGGCTGAGGTTTGGCTGCTTAAGGCCCTCTTCCTATGAAATAGATACACAAGATGAATGTGTTTGGGACAGCAATAGCACAGGAGGTTTTCGTAACAAGATCAAAACTTGGAGAGAGCTCCTTTCCCCGTGTACCTTGGAAAAACGCTCTGAGCTGGGGCTCACCCAGCAGCTGCTGCCCGCCCACCCCTACTGTTGCCACCCACACCCCAAAAGCAACTTTTCCCATGACTCACACGTGGCAGCTTGTGCACTTCTTTTATTATTAAATATATAAGCAGCTTCCTATTTTTTAAATAGATATTTAAATGACCTTATATAAAATAATTCACCACTTCCAAGTATAAAAACGCAGTCTCACAGTTCGTGAGCCAAATGTTCCCTCTGAGCTTTCTCAGAAGAAATAAGGGGTTCCTGTGCAGGTATAGGGGTACCCAGAGGTGGCTCTGGGGCTCCTCCTGCATCTGTGTCACCACATGCCCACAAAGAGCTTCTGCAAACGGGCTGGATTTGCCTTATTGACTTTTAAAATACTGTAGGTTTAAGGTGGAGGGGAATGGAGAAATGCTTTTTTTTTTCTATGCTTTTCCTTTCATTTTAAAAAATATATTTTCTAGCATGGAATATAGAGTCTGTGACTAGAAGGGTGAGCCCTACTAGAAAGTTCTTGCCTGCCTTTCCTTAGGCCATCAGCTCCAAGACAGGGGTGGCTGGGCCTGGAGACCCTTTCTGTCTCTGACAGCATTGAGGGAAGACAGGTTCTCTCAGTGGAGGACTCGGGGTGGCAGGAGTGACACAGCAGCATAAAGGGACTGAAAGGCAAGTGACAGCATTGTCACCCATTGCTCAGGTCTCAGAGTCACAGCCAGGGGCTGGCCTAGGAAGTGGAGGCCCGCCCTTTGAGCAGAGTTGGAAGCGGATGACTGAGATGGTCCTTTTCCAGCCCTGGCTTCTTGGCCAGAGCTGCTGGGGGGGAATGGGGTGAGTGGTGGGGGAGGGTGTCATTGCCTGCCAGGGCAGGACAGGAGAAAGGAGGGCCGGAGAAGATGGGAGTCAGGAGCCACATGGGTGGGACTGGATGATGGGGACCACCTGCTCAGTCCTAGGCTGTGGGCAGCAGGGAAGGGAGACTGGGCTGAGGGACTAGGGTGCAGTCATCTCTCCTAACCTCAGGCACATCCATATTTCTAAGACCCATTGCAGTCAGAGCTCTCCCAGTGGCCTCTCTGCCTCCACCTCCCCTCCTTCTAGTCACTTCCCTCTTGGGAACATGAAAGTGCAAGATGCAGAAACCTGGGTGAAAGACACAGCCTAAAGACCAGCTCTGGCTTGGGGTGGGAGGGTCGTTTTCCACAGTTCCCCCTGAGTCAAAGGCTGGGGCAGGGGAAAGTTAGGGCTCAGGGGCTCCCCTAGTCAACAAGTGAGGCCAGCTCAAGATAGGAAGCCGGGGAGGGGCTGGAAGGGTGGGAGGACATTTGGACGGATGTTCACTCATGGGGGTGGATGGGCGGGCAGGCTGTTCAGCAGGCAGGTTCAGTCTTCACAGTGCAATGGCTTCCTTCATGAGGGAAGCCTCTGGGCCTCCCGGAGAAGCTCTGGCAGGGATTGGAGAGGAGGAGAAGCAGAGGCCAGAGTTGGGTCCTTCCTCTGGGCATCTTGAGCCAGGTTTGGGCAAGTCCTGAGGGCAGGGCTGGCCTCTCCTTCCTGCCTGGCCACCAACAGAGGGCACTTAGGCAAGTGGAGGGTAGACAGACCCCCCCCCCCCAGTAAAAGCTGTCAGCAAACAGTCAGCGGCCTCCTCTTCCCGTCTGTGTATTGAGCTTCACGCCTTTACGGGAAATCAGATGGAGGCTGTCCCGCCCTGCCAATCTGGGGACAGGTCCCTGCCTGTCCCTTCTGGGATTCCTTGGCACCAAATGGGTCCTTTGGATGCAGGGCTCTTCCACTCTGGTCTCCAACCTGCCACAGGCAAGTAGGTCCCCTGGAGACGAGTCAGAGGAAATTGCAGTCTCTGCGGGCCAGGGTCCTGAGTGGGGCTCGCCAGCCTTCCTCAAGCACAGGGAGCCTCCAGGGCCCACAATAAATAGCGGTGGTGTAGGGGTATCCTCCGGCCGTCTCTCATTCAGCTCAGGGTTTAAGGGTCAAGGCAGAAGGAGCTAGCATGGCTGTTCTGGTCCAGTCCTGGCAGGCAAGAGGTCTGGTGGTAGGCAAACCACATTTCCAAGAGGACAACTGGAAAGGTTGGTGATGGATGCTCCCATAACGTCTCCTCCCATGGAGAGATAGTCCTGTGCGTTCAACTGGAAGGGAAAGATGGGAAGCTGGTCAGTGAGTGGGAGTGTGGGGAGGGTCGCTGAGGACGTGGCTAGGGGAGGGGCTCTTCACGGCGTTCCTGTGGGCTGCCAGCTGGCTTTGGGAAGGACTTCCTTCTGTCCCTTCCCTCATCCTCCCAGCCATCCCAGACACCACAGAGGGACAAGGCAGTTTTCCCTGGCAGTAGCCCAAGCCTCTGGACAGACTGGCCTTACCTCCTACCTCCTCCTGGGGAAACCAGGGACCACAGTGGGAGGTAATAGGGCCTGGAGGAGGTCTGAGCCATGATGGAGGAGGGGCCGTTACTCAGGCAGATAGACCCAATAGAGAAATGGGTGGACTCTTGAAGGTCCTTAGACCCCTCGCCCTACACAGGCAAGATTATCTCATTGGCCTTGGTCAATGAACTAAGGGTGACTGTTGCTTTCTCTAGCAAAGAATAATTGTACATTTCCATCTTTACACCCTCACCCAGAAAAGATCCTCATGGATGATATTTAGGTGAAGGCAACTGAAGAGGAAGGGCTTGGCCAGAGGGGTGAAGTCTAGAGGCAGTGTAGGAACAAGGATATTCCCATCCTGCCATTATACATGCTACCCTTGAGCAACCCAGTCTCCTCCTGATGGATCAAGGGATTTGCCTCCTGCATCATCCACGGAAACCAGGGCCCTACCCTATCCCCACCCCACCCCCATCCTTGTCCCCTTGCCCAGCATTCTCAGAACGCTTTGTTCCCAGAACAGAAATCCCCTGGACTCCATCCAACAGCTTGACTTTGGACCTTGTGTGGCGCCTCCCCAACTCCATGTCCATGGCCCTATTGGTCAAGCTTATGATGGGTAAGGAGGGAAGATGGGACCCACAGCCTCTGGCTCCCAGCCCTTTCCCATGCAAGGCTGGTCTGGCCAGGCCCCAGGGTCTGCCAGGGCCCAGAAGGGAAGGAGGACTTAGAGGACATGCTGTAGCCCACTGCCCCCTCTCCCAATTCCCTGGGCTGAGGTTCTGGGGACTAGATTTTCTGAAGCTCTGTGTCTTCCACTCAGTCTCTCTGCCTCTGGGACTTTTTTTTTTAGAGCAGCAATCAGTCTGAACACAGGCATTTAACTCAGAGGATGCTGGTGCCTGGCATGGGAACCACCTTTGGGCTGTACCCCCAGAATCAAATAGTTCCCTTTCCAAGTAAAACCTTGAGTGGAGGAAGAAGCTTGAATAGACCAACAAGTAGGAAGACAGGGAAAAGAGAATTAGGGTGGAAGGTCAAGAGTGTGGAAGAAGGAGGGAGAACTAGTAGCTCCTAGTAGTTGAACACTGAGCCACAAAGTCCTCAGGGACTTCTACCCTCTACTTACTTGTTCTGAGAAGCCTTCAGTCCTCACTGCTAACCCCTTGACCCATCTCAGCCCACCCTACTGCCAAGAAGGATCCCAGGATTCCTGGTATGTTGTTACGACTTGTTCTTTTTCAAAGCGAGTCCCCCTGGTTTTGTGCACTTGCCAGGTCCCCTCTTTCTGGAGGAGGGGGCCAGATCTGTCACCCTACACTTGTGACAGCTTGCTTACATGTGGAAAAGGGTGTGACTAGGAATTTGAATGGGTCGCCCAGCTAATCTGCCAGCCAGCCAGTCATGAATCATTGGGGCAATCTGCCATCTTAGTTAGCCAATCTGCTCACTAATCAACAACTTGTCAGGCAGTTTACCAGCTAGTTGACTAGTTAGTCACCTAACTAGCTGCTCAGTTGGGATTAATTAACTAATTAGTTAGCTAATTTGTAAGCTCCAAGACTAGGCAGTTAGAGACAGCTGGCCAGAGTCAGTTGGTGAGTCAGTCCTGAAGTCAGCCAGTCAACATTTATTGAATTTTTTGGCAAGCATGGAGAAGCCCTCTCTGTTCTAGAACCCAGGATGAAAAAAAAAGCCAAGTGTAAGACAATTCCTGCCCTCAAGGGGCTTACAATCTTCTTAGAAGTGCAGAAAATACATATACACATGAAATGAGATTTTAAAATACATAAAACAACATCCAAATCGATGCGAATTGATATAGTATTAACCAAATACAAAAGAGCAGAGGAGAATGAATTAAAGGGTAACCAGATGGGGTGGACATAGTTGGGAGGGCTTCCTGAGGGGCTGATTGTGATTTAGGGCTGGGGAAGAAGAATCTGGGTGACATTTTTTTTTTATCAATAGTGGGCAAGAACAACAGAAGGTAATCACTGTGGATAAGGGATATATCTGGGAGGGAGGGCTAAAAGGTTGGCATAATTAATAGCGAAAACTCTTTTAGGAGGCTCTGGGCATGGGCAAAAACTAATGAGGTGGTTTAACATAGGTGAGTATAAACTGCACTTTGGTTTAAAAAGTTGTCCATAGGTGTGCTGGGCCAAGGCTCACAAGAAATAGACTAAAGGTTTTAGTAGACCACAAGCTCAACATATAACAACAGTATGATGCAATTGTTATAACTAATGCACTCTTAATCTGCACCAGTAGAGAAGTACTGTCCAGATCAAGGAAAGCAACAGTCCCACTGGACTCTGAGCTTGTCAGACAGCATCAGGAGTACTGTGTCCAGGGCTGGGCGCCACATTTCCAGAGGGACATTGACAAACGTGTGTATCCAGGATGGTGAGGGGTCTGAAAACCACATCATATAAGGAATGTTTGAGGGACTTGGCCACACTGAGTAGAGATTTTTTTATTTTAAAAAGTTATTAGTTTATATTAATTATACAGGGGGAGAGATTTCATTGTTACCTCTCCACATGTTTAATGTTGTATTCCTGATCTATTTCACCCCCTCAACATAGAAAATTGTTAAAGGAGAGATGGTTAATTGACTTTAATTAACTAAGGGCCTCCTGAGAAGAGGAATGAGGAGCAGCGAGGAGGGACACAAGGAAGGCCTTTTCTCCCAGTGTTATTTTGAACATGGTATGGACTGTGGCAGGCCAGGGGACTTCTATAGGATCATGATTCCAACTGTAATTTGGGGGTTTTGTCTTTTCTTTTCTTTTTGATATTGTGGACCAAATCCAGGGTGTTGTACTTTGTAGGCAAGCACTTTACCATTGAGTTGCTTCCCAGCCTGGATTATGACTCTAAAATAGGGAGAAAGCATTGACCTTGGTTGGGGACCAGCCTGGCAAGAGATGGATGCTAAGGGTAGGTACTGAAAGGGTGTGGAAGCAAGCTAAGGATTATGGGTTTGAAGTGGTTGGCCATGCAGAGCTACTGAAAGTTTTCCAGCCACAATGGAAAGCAAGCATGGTGGCTCGTGCCTGCAATGCTAGCTACTGAAATCTAAGGGTCATGGTTCAAAGCCAGCTTGAGCAGGAAAGTCTGTGACACTCTTATCTCCAATTAACTACCAAAAGCCAGATTGGGTGAAAAAGCTAAGGAACAGAACCCAGGCTCTGAGTTCAAGCCCCAGAGCCAAACAACAGCAACAACAAAACTAGAGAAGCAGCAATTTTGTTGAAAGTTGGATGGAAAGAGCGGCGGGATTAGAAAGGCCGAGGTAGCAGTTCCTGACATCAGGTATGTGGATGGGGTTGGGAGGGGGCGGTGACCTGAGGTGATCTGGGAAGGAGGGGCTTGGCTGGACCTGGTAATCAATGGATGAAGAGGAAACAGGACCAAGATGAAGTGAGAGGGATTCAAGTGTGAGGGCCTCAGGAGTTGGCGTGGGTAACAAGGGAGAGTGACTAAAGAAGGGTAGAGTTCTATTTAAGGGGTGAAGAGAAATGAAAATCCGCCTCTTACCTTCGAATTGTGCCTACACTGGCAGTTCCACCTGTCTTCCCTCATCTTGGGTCAGGGGGCTGCAGGGAGAGCACAGCGCTAGTGTAAGACTTCAGCAGTAGCAGGGAACTCAAAAGACCCCCTTAAGGTTTGTCCCCAACCCCACATATGTGCTCCAGCCCTTTCTGATAAAAAAGAAAAACGCAACAACCCAGAATTGTCAGACTTTTAGGAAGAATCACCAAAGCCTAGATATCTAGGTAGAAGAGAGGTCCTTCCTCTTCTGCATATATATGTGTGACTCCACATCACACATCTGTGCTTCCATTTCTTTAGAGCAAATGGAAGAAGCCTCCACTCCTACCCTCAGTCCAGAGGGGAAAATAAATCCCAAACTAGGCCCCAAGACCTCCCAGAGTCCCACCCCAACTGCTCACCTGCCCTCTGGGTGCCCTAAAGGAAAATCCAATGTCTGAGGCTCTCCATGGCTCTGAAACAGGAAAGAGCAAGTTCATTGAGAAGTTGGTGGCTGAGCGGGTGGTGGTAGGATATACTGTTCTTATTCCCAACCAAGCTGCCCCAGACATTAATAACAGAAGGGCAAGAGTTTGTCTTTCTTGAAAGTAAGAGTTATTCAGAGGCCTCTATGCTGACAATGCCCCTTTCCTCTTTTGTCTCTTCTATGGGTCCCATGCCCCAGATCTGTGGAGCTCCCAATACAGTACCACTGCTCTCCTTTTTCTCTCCTCCCAACAGGTTGTCATCCCGTTCTCAGCCCAAGAATCTTCTCTTCTATCCTCATCATTTCCCGTGAGTCTTAGGGTCAAAGCTTCCTGATTTTTGAAGAACCTTCCATCCATGTCTACCTCCCATCCTTGGCACTCAGTCAGCCCCCACTGCCTCCCATCTTCAGCCCCCAGCAGAAACTGTGCCATTCCCCAACTTTCACCCCATCCCTCTCCCTGCCCTGCCCCAGCGGGGATGCCCTCATAGCCTCCTTGAGATCTCCTTACCCTCCGTCTCCGCCTGTAGAACAGGAGGCCGCCGACAGCCAGCAAGACCAGGATTATACTGGGCACCAGAAGGCGGAAGACAAACACGGGGAGCTGGGGGTCAGAGGATCCCGAGTGCTGCCTCTCATGGCCTGCAGCAGTCAAAGGAACGGAGTTAAAACGGGCCTGGAGTCTGTCTGCCCCCTCGCTTGCTTGTCCTCCTTCCAGCTCTGCAGGGCTCCTCCGGTCCCTAGTGCTCCTTTTGCCCTCCAGTTCCCCAAGGGGCAGCACAATGCCCCAAGAGTGGCTTCTGGGAGGCTGTGTCTGGGCAGACAGGGTGGCAGGGTTGTTGGGGGTTTGGGGGCGTAGTGAAGACATCCGGGGAGAGCTTGGCTCCTGTGATCTCTGGTGGTCTCTGGTCAGGGCAGATGAACCATCTGTCTTCTCAAGAGTATGATTGTGGGCCTGGCCAGAGGGTCTTATGGGGTCCACCTTGGGCAAGGGAATGTCTGGTACATCTGCTGGCTGTTGGTCTTCTGTTGATGTGGGGAGCGGAGAAGATGCTGTGAGGAGGAGGCTGGATCTGGCAGGCTCTGCCAAGATGCTGCCCCCTACTGGCCCAGCGGGGGAAAGCTTTGCCTCCTTGGGCACCAAATCTTCATCAGCCTTTCCAGAGGCTTCTTCTAGGACCCAGTTAGTTCCCAATTCAGAGTCAAGAAGGTCCTCTACTCCACGGGTGGGGCCCTCAGCAGGAGGGTGAGGCTGTGGTGAATCCTCTATAGGGATGTTCCCCAGGTTTGGGGTCTCTGGTGATTCAAGGCTTTGGCAGGTGCTCCTGGGTGGTCGCTGCTTGGCAGTTCCTGGGTCCACTGTGCGAAGGGGCTGCTCACTGGGCAGGAGGGAGCTTCCCTCTGTCCCCTCAGAATCAGCCCAGGTCAAATCAGCCACAGGGGCAATGGAGGGGGTGAGAGGCTGTTGAGGGGAGGCAGAGGCCGGGTCACTGCTAGGGGTGGCGTTAGGGTACAGGCAGTTGCAATCAGGCTTGGTCACCACATCTGAAAGAACCACAGAGAGGGGAGAGAGAAAGACGGAGAGGAGATAAGAGTCACCAGCCTCCAGCACAGATCCTCAAGAGGGGTCAAGAGGGATATATGGGTCTGGGGGCGGGGGGGGGAGGGGAGGGAGGGTAATCTTCTCCTAACAGCCCTGGGGCTAAGGAGAGGACAGGACTAGAGCAGATGCTCAAGACACAGTGCAGAGGGTAGAAAGAGCAGTACAGATGCACATACTGGGCTGGGGAGAAGAAGACAGACAGCAGCCTGTATTGAGCTTCCAGAGACCAAGCCAGAGGTCAGGAGGCTGAGCAGCAGACTCCTGGATTAACACAACATCTGAAGCCTTCAAGACATTGGTTTCATGCAGTTAAGGACCCAAGCAGCCATAGCCACAAGTAAGAACAGGTTAGGGATGGGAGATGGTCAACGCTTGAGGCCTTGGGACAGAAGCAACAGACTGGACTTGGCCTTGGACAGGTTGCAGGGCCTCAACCTTGCCTTGGGGAGCAAGGTTGAATGTAGGAGGGCACACGTGGCATAGGATGCAGAGACGAGGACACGCAGGATACAGGTATGTAGCTGAGTCAACAGTGGGAGAGTTTGAAGGATGTTCAGACTTCAAATCCAGCCTTGTCCCTTGAGGGGACCCCCCAAAGCATCCTGGGGACTTCTGGAGCCAGGGTGTCCTGGTGGTCACAGCAGGGCTCCTGGAGCAAGGGCCCTCACTCCCAGATGAGTTTCTGCTCCATGGATGCCCCATGTTATCCAGCCAGTCTGCAAGAGCCGAGGTGGGAAGCCACCATGCCTACATGGCTTTCTGGGAGGGGGAACTCCCTTTTCCACTCCTTAACATCACAGCTGCTAGCATGGACCTTCTGGATGCTTCCACATGCAGAGATATGTAGGTAAACATGCACACACATGTGAGAAGAGACATGTGCCTGGGACTCGGAGGTACATGAAGCCACACAGGTACAGGAAAGGAGTACACATCACACACAAAGACACATATGTAGCATCCAGGCTGTCTGTGGGGGTCTCTCCAGCATTAGGACTCACCCTTCACACACCCTCCCACACCCCAGCCCCTTCCAGTGCATACCTTGGCTAGAGCACTTTGCAAAGCTATTGTTGCAGTTCTTGCTAAAAATATTCCAGTCGTTTTCAAGGAGATTCTTTGTTTCATTAAACACATTCTTGATCTTCTCCAGCAACTGGAGAGGAGTCTCGTGGAAAGTTCGGACACAGGCCTGGGAGGAGAGCAGGAACCTTTTGGTGAGCATGACTGCCTAACCTCCTTTGGCAAACTTCCTTAACTTTTCTCACACTAGATCCCTTCCTCCTTTCTGGTTTACAGAATCAGTCCTGAGTTTATGAGATATGTCACGTCTTCATGGGATTATCCAACATGTATTTAAGTACCAGGCATATGGTAATTAAGATACTACATTAAGCAGGGCATTGGCATCCAACACAGTGTAAGTGCAATGAATCCTACTAGAAAGTTTTGAACAATCTCCAGAGACATAACAAAAGGGAACGGAATGAGAGTTCAAGAACTTCCCCCACAAAACATCAATGGAAAGATGCACAAGAGTTAACCAGAAAGGTGATGAGGTTGGGGAGAACAGAGCAGGTAGGAAGCACAGGCTGTACGAAGGCAGAAAGCATAAAATGCAAAAAGAATGAAAGGAGTGGTTGCAAGATCGGCATCTGGAAGAATATGGCAAATGATACAAGTGGAGAGAGCTCAACAAGGAGCATGGGCATGTTTAATTTTAATTTTAGCAGATAGCAAAGGGAAGACTCTGCCAATGTTTCTGGGGGAGGTGGGAGATGGCATGAGAGAAATTGAGTTTTAGGGCTGGGTATAGATAACTCAGTGGCACATTGCTTGCCTTGCATATGCAAGGTCGTGGGTTCTATCCCTGGCACAGCAAAACAAATAAAGACAGAAGATTGCAGGTTAGCAGAATCATCTCAAGATGGTGTAGAGGATGGAATGGCTTGCCACAGGGGATTTGAGTTCTTTGCCGTCACTTGCTGTGTCATAGAGGGAGGACTCACGATACCCCAGGGCAGAATGCTGAGCTGCTCTGCTGCTCCTACATCCACTCCTGGGATCTTGGTACCTCTCCAGCTGCTTCCTCAAGACTCCAGAGGGCTGCAGATCCTCAGGGCTCTGGTATGGACCTAATTCTCCTTTCACACCAGATTGTGCCAAGCGTGACCACGGCCTCATCTATGTATGGCCTACTTGCTGCTGACTCCCAAATGGCAAACTTCCCCTTCAACGTTTTGAGCTCCACAGAGAGTTTTTTTTTTATGGGTTTTCCCAGGCTACTGCAAAGTCCTTAAGGGCACTGCTCTTTCCTCCAAAACTGTAAACACAAGGCCCATCATAAACACTTGGCTTGATCTCAGATCTACCACTCACTCCATAGTGAAAACAGTCAAGTGAACATTCTTGTCTATCTCTTCATCAGTGAAGAGCAGAGCAGAACAATAACCAGGCCAGCCTCTCCCTGGGGCTGTAGAGACTCCCCCCTTGCCTCACCTTTCGTCACATTTCATAAAGAAAACAAGCACTTTGCAAAGAAAACAAGAATCCTGTCCAAAGCCCAGATACCCAAGCTGCCTCAGTAGAAAGATGTACCTGCCTGCTCAGGAGCGGGGCCCCTTGGTCCCAGGCTTCTGGTTTGAGGATTGGTCTTCCGGTATCCATGGTTCCTCCCTTCTGGTCTACCAATCACCATTCATTGACTGTCTTACGGATGAATGGAAGTCCCTCAATCTCAATCATGGAGTCAGGCACTGGTAGCTCACACCTGTAATCCCAGGTACTCAAGAGTCTGAGATCTGAGGATCAAGGTTTCAAAGCCAATCTGAACAGAAAAGTCCAGTGAGACTCTCATCTCCAATGAACCAGCAAAAAGCCAGAAGTGGAGGTATGGCTCAAGTGGTAGAATGCCAGCTTTGGGCAGAAAAAGCCAAGCAAGAATGCAAGGCCATGAGTTTAAGCCCCAGTACTGGCACACACACAGACAAAATCTCAATCATGGGTGGGGAAGCTTCTTATAATGCAGATCCCAAGCCTCCTTTGGGCTCGGGGAAGCAGACTCTGTAAGGCTGAGACCTTCTATAAGACACTGGGACTTTGTTAAGCAAGTTAAGCAAGTTCCCCAAGTACTTCTCAGGAATCACAATGTTGGGAAGGCACAGATTTAATACCTTTTATTAAAGAGTTCCTCTCTCCAGCTACATCTGTTCTTCTTCCCTCTTTCAAGCCAAGTTCCTTCACAGTGTGGTCTCCATTTCCTCTCTTTCTATTCTCCCTGATCTGCCTCCAACAGCAACCTCCACATTGCCAAATCCCACCAACTGAGGGCTGCTTTTCAGCCCTTATCTTGCTTGACTTCTCAACCCATTTGGTAACTAGTTCTTCTATCCTGAAATGCAGCAATGCAGTCTTCCCTTAGATTCTCACTCTCATGGAATCTTGGGCCTGATTCTCTTTTCCCAGCCAGCTAGGCTGTATAATCTTGTACCTTCCCAAACTATTTCCAAGTCATACCTCTAGTATCTGTGCACCTCTAGTCATACTCAAGATCGGAACCCTCAGCTGTCTGTTCATGTGGCCCAAACTGATCTCAGGTCTCCCCCTCTGCCCACCATAATTCTCACTTGGACAACGTTCAAATACTAGGTACGCAAAACCAAACCATCCTGACTCTTTTCCTTGGCCTCGTCCATTGTCTATCCCCAGCATGCACCAAGTCCTGTCTGCCCAGCCCACTATAGCACACCAGCCCACTCCCCTCCACCTTCTCTGCACTGGTCTGGTCCAAGCAGCCACAATCTCTAGCCTGAGCCTCTTGCTGATCTCCTGGCTTCCATTCCTGCTCCCTCTAGTCAATTCTCCATATAGCAACCACAACAGTCTGAAAGGGAGAGCAGGCCACACACCAATTCATCAGGTCTTCTCTCTCATTTAAGACAAAAATTCCAAGTCTTTGACATACCAAATGTCTGGTTCCCGCCTTTTCTCCTCTTTCCCCTACTCATATTTGGAGTTCCAATTAGTATGTTCTAACTAAGGAAACTGATTCTTCTTCTATACTGCACCCCCCCCCAATTTAAGTCAGTGTTCCCTATTACACTCTGAGCCCTGTGTTCTCAATCTTGGCTCGCTCACTTCCTCTAGGTCTCCCTTCCCCTGGTTTACTCTTCCCCAATGCAGTTATCAACATCCTCATACCCACCCACATATTTTACTTGTTGATTCACACTCCCCCCCCCACCATGTAATCTCCATGATAGTGGGGATTTTTGCCTGTTTTCATTACAGCTGTTTCCTGGTGTTTGGAACCACACTTGGTACACAAGAGGCACAGATAACTATTTGTTGACAACTCTTCCTGGTTTGTAATTATATTCACTTGTACTGTTATTCAACAGCTGCCCACCTAGCCAGACCATAGCTCTGTAAGGGTGGGGACCACAATTCCTTGCTCAGAGGACATCATCAAAGCTCAGCCCTGTACCTCTAATCTAGTAAATCCTTAGTAACTATTTGTCACATGAGTGAATGAATAGGATGGCACTCATTCACTCATTCATTCATTCACAATGACACAAAATAGGCTGAGTAAACATATCCTGCACATGTAGGCAGGGTGGCATGTCCACAGCTACCTCTGTCCTAACTCAGTGCTCCAGTTCCAGGACCCTCCTTACCTTGTCATGATCTTTATAATCCTTAGTAAAACAGCTCTGTAGCTCCACAAAAAGTTCCTGAAGCCCCCGCATGGCAATGGCATTCGGGGTGTTGTCTTTGAAGCGCATGGTGTCCTCCATTATGTCTTGTACCAGGAAAAATGCCTTCTTAATATAGCACACGGGATCTTCCTGGAAAGTCAGAAACTGGAGCTTAATGCCTAGCTAATAGGGTCTGAGAAGCCAGGCTTTGCCCTATATGCTTGCTACCTCAAGGTAGCAAGGGCACAGCCTTCTCTGACCCCTCGGGAAGGGATAAGGAGAATGCTAATGCCTTTCTTTCTTTCTTTCTCTCTCCATCTGGGATCTAACATAACTGGGGATTAGGCTAGTGTGAAAGAATTAAGATTCTGATTGAGGATCTCTTTGGGCTTCTGGAATACCAGGTTTTAATTAGGATGGATGTATATAGAAAGAAAGGGTAGGTATCAGATATTCTCTCCTCTCAGAAAGGGTATCAGTGATATTCTCTCCTCTCATTCTCTCTCTCCCCACCTCCTCTTCCCTCAGCTTGTTTTCCCAAAAGTCTTTTGTCATGTGGACTCTTCAAGTCCTCCAGGATATTGAGGTACTTCATGGCTCAGAGAAGAACCTTAGGTTTTGTCGAACATGGTGGCTACCTGGAAGATGGAACTACTATGGCCCTGTTTCCCTAGCATCTGGTCTAGTAGGTTTCTAGTAAACGTGCCTGACTGAGGGAGTAAATGAATGAAAACACTGAGGTTATTCTTTGACCCATGTGGTACTGTGCCATGTTAACAGAGAAGTGCATGGATCTGGTGGGTGTAAGCTCAGAGACACGGGCAATTTCTGGGTAACAGCATGGCAGTTCTATAAAAAGCACAAAGATGTCCAAGCATGGCATGGAAGTGGGTGTAGCACTTGGAAAGGCATGGCAGGTATCAGGAAAAGCTATGCCACGGCTCAGAAGCAGAAAGGAGGAGGTAAGGCTCTGACAGGTTTTAGGGAGGAAAGTGAAGGCAGTGGGTTGGGTTTTGGAAAGGTCCCCTTAGAGGCAGGACACAAGGTGCCCTGGAATTAGGCAAATCAATTAGAAGGTCCCTAAAGCTTTCCAAGGGAATGACTGGGAATGGAAGGTAGGATGGGGAAGAGGACAGAACATCAAGCTTCTGGGAGGTAGAAGCCACCATACTTGGTGACTATTTGGATAGGAAGATGGACCGGACAGCCTCCCTGGTGGATGGAGGTAACATAATTTCTCAGACTACATGATATGAAGATATATCTTGGTTTGTCTTCAGCCCTAGTTCAAACCAGACTTCTGCTGCTTAACCGCTATGCTCCTTAATCTCTATGTGGATAAGAAGCAGTATTTGTGGTCCTTATCACTGTTAGGTACTATTAGGACTGACTTAAGAAAATGCCTAGCATTCAGTAAACACTTGATATGTGCCGGGCCAGGGGAAGGGAACAGGATGGGACCTGAGTCCTGGAACCATCCCAGGCCTGGATGTTAGCATCCTAGACTTGACCATCCAAAGACCTCACATCCTCATTGTATCCAGGTCCTGCTGCCTTCATGCTCCCATGTGCTCTCCTACTTGGAGGGGACACGTAGGGAGGTACATGGACCTTGCAAATAGTCATCACTTACCAACTGCTCTTGGTCTACAAACTCATATGCAATCTGGCATGAAGTCTCCATCTGACTGTCAATCTGTAAGGAAGAGCAGATCAGTGTTACAGAGTGTATAGTATAGCTCGATGAAGATGGTATCAGTGGGAACTTCCATTTCTGGGTTCACCAGAATCTGACCTTCACCACACCGGGAAAGACAAAGTCAATGCAAAGGAAATCCCTATGCCTGACGCAGACCCAGAAGAGGACTTCCAAAGAGCAAAAATTCTCCTCATTCAACCTCCTGCTCCATGACGTTGTAAGTTTTATATAAGGAAGAATTGTCTATAGAAGAATATCAGCTATCTTAGCTAACTCACTGGAGGGAGTAAGTATCCTATCACAGGAATTCCAGTAGAGACTGGCCAAGCTCTGGAGAGTGATGATCTGGAGGGACCAGGTAGATGCCGTGGTGACCCCTGGCAGAAGTTAGTGTGTTCTAGGCTCCAGACATTGCTGTGGCTCATGGTCTGTCTTAGACTTCTGCAGCAGAGCATGTAGGTAGAGAAGAAGAGGGGCCTAGAGAGGCTGGAAGTCCAGCCCACAGGCCTCCACATTCAGTGCCTTGGATCTAGATTTAGTCAGTGGTGCCCCACCCTGCCAAACTGGCCAGAGGGATAGTAAATTCCCCACTGTGGAGGACAGAAGTCATGACAACAAACTGACCCTGCCTGTCTGGACCATGTTGTTGGCAATTCTGTTGGCCTGATTAGAATGAGACACAGGCTCCTTTGGGGCCCAAATGAGCAGGCTACATCCATCCCAGAGGCAAGAGCCAAGGCAGCTAGGGCTGGAAAGCAGGTACATGTCTCCCCTTCTAAGTCTGGGTGGGGCCTTGGTGCCAGGCTGGCAACATATCTAGGAGTCCAGGAGCTGGACACAACATCTAGATCCAGCAGGCAAACTGGGCTGACTCCCTGGAGGAAGCATTCCCTGAGCAAGTCAGGCCTTAGAAGCCTTTTAGGGTCTACAGTGGGCATTCCTAGGCAATCATTACCCCAGCTCGCTAGAGGTCTAACTCACTACCTTTTAGAGTTGGGGCAATCTGAAGTCCCAACCCTGAGAAGGTGAGTGAGAGAAGGACAGACCTATTTCCTACAACCCTTCTCTTTGATTCTTCCCCCGGGTCCCTGTCTCAGGGAAAGGCAGGGATACATACTTACCAGCTGTTGCAGTAACTCCAGGTGTCCTTCCCTAATTGTGTGGCTACAGTGCACTGACACCTCCTTGGCAATACTCCTGCTCACCAGGAGACAGATCAGCAGCAGTCCAGGGCCCAGCCATGTCTGTGACAGAAAGGGAGTAATTTTTCTCTAGTTTTTATTCTCCCCAACCATGCTTTTGTTCTGCCCAGGATGGAAAACCAAGTCTCATCTCTAGAATGCTATAGTCTCTGCACCACCACTCCACACAAATCAGACTTCCCAGCATCTCCTGTCATCTGTAGCACCAATTTGCTCTAACTTAATGAAAACCTAAGTGCCATCTTCTCCAGGAGCCTTCCCAGATGAACCCAGGCCAGCCCAACTACATAAAGAGCACCTAATAATGACACAGGTGGTATGCCAAGCAGTCTACATTCTAGTGGAACAAGACATTAGCTTCTAAAGGGCAGGATTTGCACCTACCCATCACTCAGTCCCTGCAACATTGACAGGGAGCGAAGCTGTCAATGTTGTGAGCTGTCCTCAAGGGCATGCTCATGTACTTCCTTTCTGACTGCAAGCCAGAGACCTCTCCCTTTCTTTCACACGGTTCCATGTAGGTCTGGCTCTGCCACCACATAAGACGACACCAAACTCAGTTTTACTGGAAACTCATCCCAGGCCAGAGGGGTAGAGCCCTGGGCATGTATGTGTCAAAAAAATTGATTAATTAGAGGCAGTAGTGCCAGCCGTGGGCACTCCCTGGGTGGCACCTGCCTAACAGAATCCCAGCACACTATGCATCTAGCCAGCTAGCTCTTACAATCATAAGAAAACCTTCTGCCCTCGGTCAGCACCCACCTGGCCCCCAGCTGCTCAGCCCCAGAGGGATAGGACTGGCTCCTGACTCCCTGTTTATGCCATTCCTTCCTCCTCCCTCCAGATCACCTTCATCCCTAAGGGCTTCCCTGGAGCATCCTTTCTTCAGCCAGAGGCTAGAGGGGCCCTTGGGCCTTCTTTGTCCAATTTGAAGTGGCCTTTTGGGAGCTCCTAAGCATCCTGGCAGCTGATGCCCACAGATTCAGGGAAATGCTGGCAGAGTGGAGTGAGGGCTGGCACTTTTCTGGCTCTGGGCTTTGCCCCAGTAATCCAGATGATGAGACAAATACTTCAAATAAGGAAAACATTGGAAAAATACAGGGAGGCAATGAAAGAGCCCACAACAACATGCTGATTTTACATCTTAAAGCGCAAAGCCTTCCGAGTTCTCAGTAAAGAAGAGGAGCACGTCTCGTCTCACTACGGGGAAACTGCAGGGACTTGGGCACTAGCCAGGCTTTAGAAGCTGGGAGAAGTTGGTGGCAGAAGAAAGGGCAAGCAGGTTGATGTTCCCTGCAAGCACAAGGTACCTTCCAGCCAAGAGCCTCAGAGAATCCTGGCATGACCGAGGGGAAGGGGAGGGGGGTCGACAGGGGTAACTGGAACATAGTATTGGGGTGAGAGGTACTTTGGGCTCTAATGGACAATTGTTGCCCAATGTCCTAAGGAAGCTCAGGCTCAGGACTGATTAAAGAGAATGTGGAGAAGGTGATTTCCCCCATCCTGGCAATTACTGAGCCTCTAGAGTGAATGGCATACAGGAAAAGCCCCTGGGGACAGGCATGTTGTGGAAGACCTCACGCAGGGCACTTCAAGACATGGATGTTTTGAGGACAGCTAAGTAACATCAGTGCGTCATCCCCATGGGTACCTGGCTTTAGGCCATATTTCAGGCATCTCTGGTAGAATGCTGACTTTGAAGAGGGCTAAAGGGGGTCACCTCTGCATTTGGGAGTTCTAGTGCTCCCACTGCAGAGAAGTATCCAGACAGACACCCAAGGGTTAATGCTCTAGCTTGCATCTGGCTGGGCAGGCTCTTCCCGCTTCCTTCTTCCCACCCACCCTCAGCCTCTGCCTATGGAAGCAGCCGGGGGAAGGAATCTCTGCTGCAGGCTCAGAGAGATGCAGGGCATCTGAGCCTGCCTTCAGTGGCCACCATCCTGCTACATCTTCCCTGTGACAAAGTTTGTGGGGGGACCTGGTATGACTGGACCCTCAGATTGCTTGTCTAACCCTGTCCCCCGTTCCTCCTGCTCTCATCTCCAACCTCGCTGCGCTTATTGCCATGGCCTAGCCCTCTCCTTTCCCTTCCCTAGTCTGAGTCCATCCTCGCTGCTGCTCGGTTGGGGTTTCTGCTGTGCATCTAATTCTCTCTCGACCTGGCCTATTGCTAACCTCAGCTTTTATCCACCAAATGCTTTCCAACTCTTTTCCTCCTTTGGTTTACTCCTTTCATTCTCCCCCAGAACTCTCGAGAAACAAACCTATTACACTACCATTTGCGTTCATTAAAAGTGCCACATTGTACTTTCTAGAAGCTACACAGCTACTGACGTCCGAGAAGCACTTTTGAGCAGCCTGTTCAGGATTGCTAAACCCAAACCCTCCTCCTCCCACCTTTCTCAATCAATGTGGAGTCCAGAATAGCTCTGATCCCCAATATTCCAGTAGATGATGGGGGGGAAGGCTAGCCGCAGGTAGCCCCCAGATGGGTGCCCTCCAAACAACCATCCAAGTCCTCAATGCTCCGGCCTGTGAGTTGCAACAAGTAGCTGCATGTTGATCTCTTTTCTCTGGCCAGCAGATTGCTCAGCACAAACCCTGGCATTCTAAAGTTGGAAGACCCTTAAAGGAAACCCTCCCTCCACTGTCCACTCTCCAGTGGGGCTTAGAAACACGTGTGCGTGACGGGAGGAAGATGCACACTGTAGAGGCAGCCACACGGGCAGCGCATGCTTCTGCCTGGCAACAAGCAGAGTGTCCTAGCCGATGATCGGAGGCATCCACCCGTGGCTGCAAGCCACTCTCTCCTGCCCGTGGGGGGCTCAGTGTTTCCCTCGGTGCAATGGGGAGAGTAGCCTTGGCTTTCTCCCCAAGAAAGCGCTGCAGCCCCTGAAACGGCTGCAGGGCTGCCACCGTCCTCAATCCAAGAGCCAGGGTCCTCCGGGGAAGCACAGAGGCTGGAGCCCCGTGGCCGCGGGGAAACGCACGGGCAGCGGGCGCGCCGGGGATGTGGGCTCCGAGGGGCCCGACTCGCCGATCCCCTCTTCCCAGCCTGGCCCGGGCCCCCCCAACCCCACCCCCGCCCCGCGTCTCCGCCACCACTTACCGTGGGAGGGCAGCGCCCGGC